GACCGAGCACTTCACTACCTCGTCAGCACTCCGACGATCGGACTAACCTACCACAAGACCGGAACTACGATACCTAAACTAATCGGTTACGTCGACGCAGATCACGCTGGAGACTCTGACAACAGACGATCTCGAACAGGCTACGTCTACAGACTCGAACCTATCGGACCTATCTCATGGCAGTCGAACAAGCAAGAGCTAATCGCTCTCTCCTCAGCAGAAGCAGAATATATCGCACTCTGCCCAGCCACCAAGGAAGGGCTATATCTTCGCGAATTACTGGAGGAAGCAAAATTGGCCCAGTTACCCAGCTTCTCTCTCTTCTGCGACAACCAATTCGCCATTCGCATAGCGAACAAAAACGGGGTCGCGAATCGAACGAAGCACATCGCCCTTCGGTAAAAGACGAAATCGAGAAGGGAAGACTCGAGCTATCCTACTGTCCCACATCTGAGATGGCAGCTGATTACTTGACCAAGAAACTCGGAAAACAGAAGTTCGGGTACTGTGTCAGAATTATATTCTTATACCTGCATGTAGTTCTAGCTGTAGTGTAGATATTAACTTTATAGGTGGTGCACCTCTTTGTTTGCTATATGTACCCTAGTGCTCTAGTGAACACCCATTCTCCTCTCTCGACCCTCTCTGCTTGGCACAAACCACCTCGACTCCCTTGGCCTAGGCTACTAAGCCTAGGCCTTCACTTGAACCTAGCCTTCACTTTTTCCCGTAAGATTCTAACATGGTATTAGAGCCTGTTAAGTCCTGGCCTGTGGGCCAGCCTCACGCTTCCGCCGCTGTTTTTCCGGTCGCGCACCTTGGGCGCGTGGCGATTTTCGTTTTGTCCCACGCCCGGGTGGCGCGTGACGTTTTTTCTGCCCGTCACGGACCCGCCCCTGGCGCCCGCGACGGTGCCCTGAGCCGCCGCGGATCCGCCCCTGGCGCCCGCGACGGTGCTCTGCCTGCCTGCCTGCCTGCCTGCCTGCCCGTCGTGCGCCCCGTGGCGCGCGACGGTGCCCTGCCTGCCCGTCGTGCGCCCCGAGGCGCGCGACGGTGCCCTGCCTGCCCGTCGTGCGCCCCGTGGCGCACGACGGTGCCCTGCCTGCCCGTCGTGCGCCCCGTGGCGCGCGACGGTGCCCTGCCTGCCCGTCGTGCGCCCCGTGGCGCACGACGGTGCCCTGCCTGCCCGTCGTGCGCCCCGTGGCCCGTGACGGTGGCCTGAGCCGCCGCGGACCCGCCCCTGGCGCCTGCGACGGTGCCCTGAGCCGCTGCGGACCCGCCCCTGCCGCCCGCGACGGCGCCTCTGCCTCACCCGCGTCTGCCCTCGGAGCAGCCGCCCCTGCCTCACATGCGCCTGCACTCGGAGCAGCCGCCCCTGCCTCACATGCGCCTGCACTCGGTGCAGCCGCCCCTGCCCTACCCGCGCCTGCCCTCGGTGCAGCCGCCCCTGTCCTTCACGCGCCTGCCCTCGGTGCAGCCGCCCCTGCCCTTCCCTGTGCGCAACCCCTCTGTGGCCGTGGGGCGGCTTCTTCCCCGCCCACCCCCCCCCCCCCCTCTCCTCCTTCTTCTCCCTGCTGCACGTGCAGCCGTGGGGGGGAGGGTATGGAGGTGGCGGGTATGGGGGTGATGGGTGTCTGTGATCCCCTTCCCCTCCTCCTCCTTTCTCTCCCACTGCTGCAGCTGCCGCTGGGGGGGGGAGGGTGTGAGGGTGTGGGGAGCCGGGGGAGTGGCACTAGGGACGTTGAGGAGTGTGCAGAGGGGGTTTGGGAGCATGGGGGAGGTTCCAGGAGGCAGCCGCCGTGAAGCCAGCAGCCTCACCTGCCGCCTCCCAACTCCTCCTCCTCACTGCCCCTCTAGTGCTGCCACTTGTCTTTATTTTGTGAACTTGCATCTGTTACCTTGCCTGCTGTTGTTGTTTTCTCTATCTGTGGTGTACCCCTGCAGGTTGTGTTCTGCACTTAGCTATTCCTGCATGCAGTTACGGGGGGATGTCAGAATTATATTCTTATACCTGCATGTAGTTCTAGCTGTAGTGTAGATATTAGCTTTATAGGTGGTGCACCTCTTTGTTTGCTATATGTACCCTAGTGCTATAGTGAACACCCATTCTCCTCTCTCGACCCTCTCTGCTTGGCACAAACCACCTCGACTCCCTTGGCCTAGGCTACTAAGCCTAGGCCCTCACTTGAACCTAGCCTTCACTTTTTCCCGTAAGATTCTAACATACTACATGCTGTTGACTGGACAAGGACACGTCATCAGCAGCGATACTCCAGAAGCGAAGGGGAGTGTTGGAAACAAGTAATTTAAATGCTTCTGAAGTATCGAAGTATCGACACGAAACGGAGCAGACTACAGCGAAGAAACACACGAGTCAACAAAAGCAACTGCTGGAGGTTACGCAAAGATCAAAGTGTTGAACAGTAAGAGTAGGGCCTAGGCTTAGTAGCCTAGGCCAAGGGGAGTCGAGGTGGTTTGTGCCAAGGAGAGAGAGACGAGAATGGATTTCACTATAGCACTAGGGTACATATAGCAAACATAGGATGCAAAGAATGTGCACCACCAAGGCTGACTTTATCAGACTAAAATAGTCTGATTGTCTGAAATCTCAGGGTATTTTCCTACGGATCCTGATTTTTCAGACTTGTAAGATTTTCAAACATGAGTGCCTCAGACTTACTTGGTTTTGGATCCTGAGATTTTCAGAGTACTGACTTAGCCGATAATGGGTCTTCATACTACAGGGAGTACGGATCCTGAAATGCGGATCTGTGATTTCTACGTACATTCCGCTACGTCATATGTTGCCAGTGTACGAACACACTTCATGGCGCTGTCACGCGCAGAATCTGTCCTTGGCAACTTTTGCCACCCTTTTCCCTTAGAAATCTGCCAACTTGGCTCACTCTTCCACTCACGCGGGACCATCACTGCAGCTACGCGGTGTCAGCGAGGGAAGCTGGTTAGCGTTGCGCCCCACGTGCTACATTTGTGGCAGTACTGTACTGCAGTGGTTGTAGTGTGTTCTGAGTACTTCAGACTTGTGTTTTTGCGGAACCTGACAAATCAGAGTGGCCATTCTCTGGGAAATATGCCTCAGACTAAAAAAATTCAGAGCCCCCAGAACATCAGACTGGATTTTTTTGAATAGTCAGCCCTGTGCACCACCAACAAGTTTATAATGACTACACTAACTACAGCTACAGGCAGTTACAGATATATTCTAACACAAAGGTCCCTGACCTTTGACCTGACGAAAAGTACAGTGCGACAGCAAGGACACATAACTGACTCGTTACTGAGCAGTTACCCGAGTCGGCACTGTATCGAACCGCAACAGCAAAACAGTTAAAAGTAGAACCTTTCATATTCCTTCGTAATCATATAAAAGCCTTGTATTTTCCTGCTATTAATCAACTTATCTTGTTCTCACACACCAGTCCAAGGTGGTTCAAGCAACACTTATTTAACGCTTCCGCAATTACAACATCTCTACTTCAACACTGATCTTAGCCTTGAAAGATCCTAAGGGCTTTTCTCAGCCCAATAGTGAGGGAGGAGTGGGCGGTGGCGGCAGTGGAGGTGGAGGGGGTGGTGGGAGCGGTGGGGGTGGTGGAGGGGGCGGGGGTGGCACTCGGGGTGGAGATAGAGGGGGTGGAGCTGGAGGCTCGACTACGCGCATTGCTACGTCTGGTGGTGCAGCCAGCCGGTGGTTAGCTTTGCTGAAGAAAGACATCGACGTCTTTGCTTGTGATTGGGGCGTGATCCATGCTGGCATGTATGCAATGTATGCCGCTTCTGCTAGTGTTGAGGACTGTATTCGTGTGTGCCTAGAGTTGCTAGACTAGAGACTGCTAGTCTTGGTGCTTTTGACTCGACTAGCACATGTTTTTGAGTCGACTCAAAAATAGACTGCTAGTCTTGGTGCTTTTGACTCGACTAGCACATGTGCAAAGCCTGAGGAAGCCTTTTACACTTTTACGCTCGACTCAGGAGCGTCTCGTTGCTTCTTCCGCGACAGCACCACAGTCACACCGCTCACAGTCCCTATCCCTGTCACACTGGCAGACCCCTCCGAGGGCCCGGTTGTCGCACGTGACGCCACTGTTCTCCCTTGTCCGGCGGTCGACATGGCGTTCGGTCGTCATCAGTCGTACGCGACGATAGAAAGACAAAAGAGGGAAGGAAGGCTAGCCAACTACTACCCCTTCACTTTCTTGGCCTTCCCACAGAGTGCATGCGCATTGTTCTCATGCCCAACCCTCGTGTAATAGCCAAACGTCTTGAATCCACTCTCAATCGATGCACGTAGCTGAGCTAGAGACCCAGGTCCTAGAATTGATGTGGACAGGAAACTGTAGCGCTTGAGGCGGCCAGTTTTGTCACTAGTGATGTTGGTCCACTGTGCAGGACCAGTTAGGGAGGATGCTCCAGTGCAGGCCTTTGTGCCGCTTAGGATAGGTTCTTTTCCTCCCGATTTGATTTTTAAGACAGAGAAAAAAGCCTTCATATAATAAGTTGTTGCTGAGTACCTGCAAGCAAAGGGGGGGGAGGGGAGAGGGGGACGGAACAAGGCGGGGAGGGGGGAAATGGAGACAAAATACGCTGAAAGTAAGTTAAAAGATCTCGGAATAGAATGTTGTTGCTGAGTACCTGCAAGCAAGGCGAAAGGCAAGGCGAAGATAAAAGATCTCGGAATAGAATGTTGTTGCTGAGCTGAATGCCTGTTTCTAGTTGAAACAATTCTGACATTTCGCAAGCAAGGCACAGACGGAAATGGTGCGAGGGGGAAAGGAGGGGGTGGAAGGGGGAAAGTGGGGGAGTGGGGGAGTGGGGGGGGGGGGGGGGGGCGGGGGTTTGAGGGGGGAAAGGGGGAAAGTGGGTGGGGATGGGTGCTTCCGGGAACAGCTGGGGGCTCAAATCAGTCCCCAGGAAACCGCATGGAACAATGGCACTAGCAGATGGAAATATTTCCGTGGAACAATTGCAGAGCGACGCACCTCACTATCTTTGTGACATATTTTCCTGAAGCACCTTTGTCACCAACCACCTTCCCCTCGAGTCTAGTGGGACGCAATTTTGTCACGTACTTATCTGGAAACGGAATTAGCAGGGACGGAGGTGCATGGGAAAGGGCGAGGAAGGTAATACTAGCAAAAAATCAGAGCATGTGACGCCCTGGTGGGTCCAGATTTAGGAATTCTCAATGTCATGATGACAGCCATGCACAAATCCCACCGGTTGTAGCTGATAATTCTACTGGACGCTCGGGTGGTCGTACGGCTTTTGAGGCACCTCAAAATTCTAATCCTAGTAGCTCACAGCTGTACAGGACGCTAGGGTGGTACGGCGATATGCAGAGAACAAATGCAACACAAGATCAGATGCAACACATACGCAGTACACCAAGAAGTGCAATAATGTAGGCATGACACCATAGCCTTGGAGGAGGAGGCGGAGGTGGCCACAACTCGGTGGAACTCGGCGCAACTCGGTGGAACTCGGTGCAACTCGATGGAACTCGGTGGAACTCAGTGGAACTCGGTGGAACTCAGTGGAACTCGGTGGAACTCGGTGGAACTCGGTGGAACTTGGTGCAACTACAGTGCAAGTGCTTCCTTCTGCTGCTGGTAGTACTGGTAGCAGTAGGAGAAGTGGTAGTACCGCCGGTGTGCCACTTTTGAGGCACCTCAGAAAGAAATTATAAAATCTTGGGGCGCCTCAAAAGCAGTAGGGGAAGTGGTAGTACCGCCGGTGTAGTGGCATTCGAACAAGAGGCAAAGAGCGCTGCTGACATGACACTTACAGACTGTTTTCCCTTTCCACACCAAGGGCTTGGCCTGAGCGGCTTTTGAGCGGTCTCAAAAGCTGAGTGGCAGATTCTTTAGGAGAAAACTCAAAAGCTGAGCGGCCTCAAGAATCGGACACTTACAGACTGTTCTCCCTTTCCACACCAAGGGCTTGGCCTGTGCGGCTTTTGAGCGGTCTCAAAAGCTGAGTGGCAGATTCTTTAGGAGAAAACTCAAAAGCTGAGCGGCCTCAAGAATCGGACACTTACAGACTGTTCTCCCTTTCCACACCAAGGGCTTGGCCTGTGCGGCAGGCGCCGTGGTTGAAACGCCGCCGTGCAGTGCAGAACGTGCAAGGAGGAATGGAGGGACGATTGGGGCAGATGCGACGGCAGTGAGGAACGCCGCACCTGGTGAGGGACAGCGCACGAGGGAGCAACATGAGAGGCGATTGAACACGACGAAACCTGGCAGGTTCAGAGTCCAACTAACGCTGCCGAGGTGCCAAGTAGTTGAGAGGAATGGCGCACCTGACGGGGGACAGCGCACGAGGGAGCAACACGGAGGGCGCAGGGGGGAGCATTATGAGGGAGCATTACCCCATTACGCGCAAGGAACGGCAGGGAAAATGGGGCAGACGAGACGGCAGTGAGGAACGCCGCACCTGACGGGGGACAGCGCACGAGGGAGCAACACGGAGGGGCGCACGAGAGAGCAACATGAGGGGCGCACGAGGGAGCAACATAAGGGGCGCACGAGGGAGCAACATGAGGGGCGCACGAGGGAGCAACATGAGGGGCGCACGAGAGAGCAACATGAGGGGCGCACGAGAGAGCAACATGAGGGGCGCACGAGAGAGCATCGTGAGGGGCGACCGAGAGAGCAACATGCTGGGCGCGCGAGGGAGCAACATGAGGGGCGCACGAGGGAGCAACATGAGGGGCGCACGAGAGAGCAACATGAGGGGCGCACGAGAGAGCATCGTGAGGGGCGACCAAGAGAGCAACATGCGGGGCGCACGAGCGAGCATCGTGAGGGGCGACCGAGAGAGCAACATGCGGGGCGACCGAGAGAGCAACATGCGGGGCGACCGAGGGAGCATGATCATCATGACGCGAGGGGCGACCGGACATGACAAAGCCATGTCGAGGGGCCAAAAATCATGTCAAAGCCGCCTGGGCTAATCCTGACGTGGCAGCGGTGCAGTCAGTGCAACGGCGACGGAGTTGGTTTTTGAGGCGCCTCAAAAAGCGCCTCAAAAATCGTCTCAGTGCAACGGGCGACGGAGTAGGAGAGAAGCACGCAATCAATGGGTCGCGTTTCATTACCACGGGTAGGGGCAAAAGGCAGTAAAAGGGCACTTATCAGGGCACTTATACAGTCATCGATGGGTCGTTTCCACGGGTGCGAAAAAAATAAGTCAAAGGGCTTACAGAGCTCGACGAGGACGAGAGGCGTCGTGCGGCGAACGAGGAAGGCCTCCATGTTGGTGGTAGAGGAAGGGCGAAGCGAACGAGGCGATTTGACATGAAAGTTTGCTGCTCGTGACGCAGGGAATATCACATCACCACTGCTAGTACGTCGCTCCAGCCTGAGAGGGTTCTGGATATGTGATGGGAGGTGTGTGCAAGAAACATCACAGCCCAGCTTCGGCAGTTTGGCTCGGGGCCCGTTCGTTGCCAGACTGGATAAGCGAGGCGATTCGGAGACGCGCACGAACTTGTGGACGGGGAAGGAGCGCCGCGGTGCACACCGTTCCACGTGGATAATAATCGCGTACTACTCTACGTGACTCACGCTATTCCCTCTCCAACGTAGACCATTTTGCGTCACCCGGTAGTGCAGTTGAGGAATATTGACTTTAGTTTAGAGGCAGAAGATAAACAGGCACTGCAAGCTGATAAGCTGTACAACTGTACTGTACTGCACTGTACTGTAGTGCACTGGCGCGCGCAGCAGCTCTCGTTGCGTAGCGGCGTCACCCCGAGGGAGGCGCTACGCGACGAGAGCTGAAACGAAGGGACGCCAGAGCCGCCACGCTGGCGACCCTTCAAGCGACCATCACATTGGCCTATGTAGTGGAAAGGCTGAGCCTGAGAGATTCCCTTCTCCTCGGTTCCGGCTCGGAGGCGAAGGCTTCAATCGAAGGGCTTCAAGTCCTCGACGGCATCGGCATGGCGTGACTAGGGCTATGTGATGCGATCATGCGAGGGACAAGCGATGCCAGCCAGCCCCTCCCCCACTCAGCGCAAAAACGGAGAGGCTGACACTTATGCGTCTCAAGGACGCAAGGCGCAAAACTGGATGTGGGCATTCCTCTCCGACACAGCACAACTCGTTCAAGTTTAAAGCATAGAGCAAAGTTAGCAGGGTTTAGGAAATATTAAGATTTGTAGTTCCTCCATTTGGCCGTTTTACTGCAAAGCTTTGGCCACTACATGATATTTCCCCTTCAAAGTTTTTGAGCGAATCTCGCTAGTGTTTGACGAAGTGGGTTGTTTCGCGTGATGTGTATTGTAACCTCTTCGCTGACACTTGTGTTGTCTGGGGTGAAAGGGGTTGTGTTGTGTGGCCACGATGGTTTGAACATCCACCCAACCAAACCCACAAAACAAGCGACAAGATCCTTGTCAAAACCAGAAACTATTGGCTGGCTCGACGGCCCGAACCAGTTGGTATTGGTTTGGATGAACCACGCCAGACACCCAAATTCCCTTGCTCCCTCCATAGCTCGCGCCGTGGTATGGCCAAACCAGCAATAGCTTCATTTATTGGTTGGAGTTTCCAGACCTGCCAAAGCTGGCCCAAGAAAGACAGGCCGGGCCATTATTCAACGGCCTGCCAGCTGGTGGCTGTCGCTTTGCGCTTTCCTGGGATTCAGGCCACCAAGTTACCCGATGGCGGCAACATCGGGAAGCTCGCAAACTGCTCGTCCAGAGTACACTTCAGTGGCGTGGCCGCCACCTTCTTGTTCCGAGTTTCAGTACAGAAAAATGGTACGCTAAACTTCCTTGTTTTTGCGCAAAGTTTTTCCCTTAGACAAAGATCTTCTATATATGCACGTATCTCGGTTATGAGGTTCTGCTTATTACCAAAAGTTACGAGGGCGTCGGACTTCTTTACCCTGTGGGCAGGACTCTCAAGGTACTCGAACCTGAGGGGACGAGTGTTCATTCGGCAGCACACAAGAACCAAAACAAGAGCCTTCCTTGGTTTGGTTTGGTCCCTTCCATCCATTTTGTGAAAGTACGTAGGTCTAGGCAGTTGCTCATCACCCATGAGCTCTAGGGTGCGTTCTTGGGTCGTGTCAAACTTCCGGTCAACCTTCGTGTTTTCCGAGACCAGGGGCAAATTTTAGCCGGAAGACCCGAAGTGGGTCTCGGAGTCCCAAAGTGGGGCCAACTGTGGGCCAGCTTCGTGTCTCGCCGGAAGACCGGAAGTGTGACACGAGCCAGGAACGCACCCCTAGTCTAGTTCGGTTCGCAGTTAGTTCAGTGGCATGATACGAGTGCATGATCGCAGTGTAGTGGCAATGACAACAGAGCTGCCATTGATGCTTTTGCTGTCACTGATGATCCGCCATTGCTGCGAGTGCTTGTACTAAACTAGGCTGCAATCGCACAGCCAGAGGTGTTGTGATAAGACGCTTAGGTCATCGGGTGATTTCCTAGAGCGTCTCGGCTTTCGTTAGGGCTGAAGTCCTCCATTACCCTTCTGTCCCCATTAGACGACATTATCTCGTAATGCTAACATATTAACGAATAGCCTAGTCATCAAAACCTCCTAATTTAACTTCCTAATGCGACTGCAACCATGGGCCTTCTCTCACTCGGAAGAAAAAGGCCTCCGACGGGAAAAAAGGTCGACGATGACGTGTCAGACACCGATTCCGTATCAGCCCCAAGCCTCGCCACGACAGGCCCGGGTAGTTCCTCTCGAGACTCCTCCCCAGCCAAACCGTCCGCCGCGTCAGGAGACGCCAGCCGGACGGGAGTCAAGGACGTCCTTAGGCGGCCCGGTTCCGCCGCGGCGAAAGAAGCGGCGCACACAGTGAACATCCTTAAAAAGTCGTACGAGAACGTGCAAGATTTTTACGTCATGGGGAAGGAGTTAGGTCGCGGGCAATACGGCGTGATCCGGCTGTGCACGGATAAAGCGACGGGGTTGTCGCTGGCGTGTAAGAGCATTAATAAGGCGAAGCTGGCGGGGACGCGCGAGGTGGAGGACGTGCAGAGGGAGGTGAAGGTGATGGAGCTGCTTAAAGGCCATCCCGCCGTGATCGAGCTGCGCGCCACGTACGAAGACCAAAAGGTACGCGAGCCGCGAATTGAAGGTATGCGAGCGTTTAATAGGTACCCGAGCCGCTAGTTGCGCGAGTTGATAGGTACGCGAGCCGATAGGCACGGGGACGAGTGCATTCAATAAGGCGAAGCTGGCGGGGACGCGCGAAGTGGAGGACGTGCAGAGGGAGGTGAAGGTGATGGAGCTGCTGAAAGGCCACCCGGTCGTGATCGAGCTTCGCGCCACGTACGAAGACCAAAAGTTACGACAATAGACACGCGAGCGAATAATTTGTTTGTGTCAAACGAGTACATTTCAAAAGCTGCTTAAAGGACATCCCGCCGTGATCGAGCTTCGCGCGAGGTTTAGTGACAATAATGTACGCGAGCGAAAAGTAGGTCTGTGAGCGAGTACGTTTACGAAGCTTCTTGAAGGCCGTCCAGCGGTTATCAAGCTCCCTGCGACGCTTCAACTCCAAAAGGTGGGTTTCGAGACTCACCGTTTGAGTGAAGAATGGCAGAAAGGTCAAAAGGAGGGTGGTGGATGTTAATTGCGTTTGTTTCCCCCTCTCGTTTTCCCGGCCCAGCTTCTAAGGACGCTCACACCAAATTAGGCTTCTCCCTTCTTTTCGCCGTCCTTACCACTTCATACCTCTTTCTCTAATTTACCTTTTTCCGCTTTCTCGTTTCTGTGTCTCGTTTTCGTCTCAGCGTGTGCACCTGATCATGGAGCTGTGCGAAGGCGGCGAACTCTTTGAGCGAATAAGCAAGCGAAAGCATTACCCTGAAAACGAGGCGGCGGAGGTTTGTCGCACGCTCGTGTCAGTCGTCGCACACTGCCAGGCGCACGGACTCATGCATCGCGATCTCAAGCCCGAAAACATTCTGCTCGTCAGCCAATCGTCGCACACGCGAGTCAAAGTCGTGGATTACGGCCTCGCGGTTTTCGTCAAACCTGGTGAGCCTCCTTTTCTTTAGTTCGAGTTACATAAATTATCGAACTCTGTGCAATTTCGCGAACCGCGACAAACGCCGACCGTTAGCCAAAAATCGCGCACGCGAGTCAGACTCTGTGCAAGTTACTAAACTATTCTCTAATCTCGGGAACAGCCTTCTGAGCTGTGCTTTTAATAAGCGACCTAGTCACCCTAAACTAAAAAAATTAAGACTGATTAAACATCAAGGATAAAGTCCTTAGGAAACATCAACGACTGACCCGACCTGACTCTTGGTCCTTAGGAATCTGGAATGTAATTCAGTGAAACACGGTACTTAATTACCTTAAAAAACGGTATCCTGTGGAAGATTGTACTCATGGGGCTGTATCTGGTATTTCAAGAGCATGGATTTTTACAACGTGGCACATAGCGGCCCATGGTACACATTCCCACCACTTCCCACCCTCCTTCACCGCTCTACACTCCCCGTTAACAGTTGCGAAGCTGGCGACAATGGCGGGCAGCGCGTATTACATAGCCCCAGAAGTTTTGAACGACTGCCACGGGCCCGAGGCGGACATGTGGAGCGTGGGGGTGATCCTCTACATCCTGCTGTGCAGCCTGCTCTCTCCACCTCTTTGTCACCATCTTCCACCCCTTTCCACCGGTTCCCACCATTTTCCACCCTCCTTCACTGCTCTCCACTCCCCATAACCCATCTTCACCGTTACAGGTGCCAAACTAACCACCATGGCGGGCAGCGCGTATTACATAGCGCCAGAAGTTTTAAATAACTGCTACGGGCTGGAAGCAGACATGTGGAGCGTGGGGGTGATCCTCTACATCCTGCTGTGCGGCCTGCCACCCTTCTGGGCGGAGAAGGAGGAGGGCATCTTCGCGGCCATCAAGACGGGCAAGATCGACGTGTTCACGGGCGTGTGGGAGGGCGTGTCTCAGGACGCCAAAGATCTCGTTATAAAGCTTCTCACGAGGGATCCTTCGAAGAGAATCACGCCAGAAAAGGCACTGGGTGAGTGGAGGGTGCGGGTGGGAGTGTATGGGAGGGAAGGGATGACTTGAACTGGATGGGGGACTGGGAGAAAAGGGGGGGGAGAGGGGAAGGGAGGTGGGGAGGTGGGGGTGATTCTCTACATCCTGCTGTGCGACCTGCCGCCCTTCTGGGCGGAGAAGGAGGAGGGCATCTTCGCGGCCATCAAGACGGGCAAGATCGACGTGTTCACGGGCGTGTGGGAGGGCGTGTGGGAGGGCGTGTGGGAAGGCGTTTCTCAGGACGCGAAAGACCTCGTCATTAAGCTTCTCACCAGAGATCCTTCGAAGCGGATCACGCCTGAGAAGGCATTGGGTGAGTGGGGGAAAGGGTAGGGGATGGGCACGATTCATGAGTTCACGGGCGTGTGGGAGGACGTGTCGCAGGACTCGAAAGACCTCGTTATAAAGCTGCTGACAAGGATCACTCGTGAGAAGCTTCGTAACGAGGTCCTTCGCGTGAGTGGGTGGATTTTGGGTGGATGGGAGGGAGAGAGAGAGGGCGTGTGGGAGGCCGTGTCGCCGGGCGCCAAGGAGCTGGTGATTAATCTGCTGACGAGGGACCCGTCCAAGCGGATCACACCGGAAAAGGTGCTGGGTGAGTGAACGTGGGGGTGGAGGATGGGGCGTGGGAAGGGGGGGCATGTTCAAGGGCGTGTGGGAGGGCGTGGAGGATGGGGGTGGGTGGGAGTGTCTGGGAGGGAGAAAAACTGTTTGCATGAAGTGGACAGTGGAATGGGAGGGGAGTGATTGCCTATGTGCCACCAGAGATCAAGCAACTCGCTTCCAGCCTTCCTCCTCTTACTCTCAGAATCCAACTTTCCGTTTCCCCCTCTCCCCCCCTCCAGCCCACCGCTGGTTGAAGCAGCACGCGGGGGCAACTCGCTTCCCCTCCTCCGCCTCCCTCTCCGGAATTCATTCTTGTGGGCTGACAAAAAACTCTTCCATCCCCCCTTTTCCCTTCTTTCCCTCCCCCTCCCACCCACCCCTCCTCCCCCTCCTTCCCTCAAACCCACTCTCCAGCCCACCGCTGGTTGAAGCAGCACGCGGGGGCAACTCGCTTCCCCTCGTCCGCCTCCCTCTCCGGAATTCATTCTTGTGGGCTGACAAAAAACTCTTCCATCCCCCCTTTTCCCTTCTTTCCCTCCCCCTCCCACCCACCCCTCCTCCCCCTCCTTCCCTCAACCCCACTCTCCAGCCCACCGCTGGTTGAAGCAGCACGAGGGGGCAACCCGCTTCCCCTCCTCCGCCTCCCTCTCCGGAATCCAACCTTCCCCTTACCCCCTTTTCCCCTCCTTCCCCTCCCCCCTCCAGCCCACCGCTGGTTGAAGCAGCACGCGGGGGCAACTCGCTTCCCCTCCTCCGCCTCCCTCTCCGGAATCCCCCCCAAGCCCGCCACTGCTGACGTCATGGGCGCGTTCAGGCGCGACAGCAGCGTCAGCAGCAGCACAGGGGGGGGCGCGCGCCCCAGCTCTAGCAGCGGGGCGGGCGCAGGGGGAGGGGGAGGCGGAGGGGGGGCGCACCACCATCACCACGCAGGGGGGGGCGGGGTGGGGGGACTGGCGGGGGTTTTAGCAGGGGGAGACTCGTCCCTACTCTCCAAAGCGATTCTCTCTCTGAAGAAAGTCGGCAGTGGCAGCGGGGGCGGGGGCGGGGGCGGGGGCGGGGGCGGGGGCGGGGGCGGGGGCGGAGGAGGGGGGGGAGGAGGAGGCGGGGAGGGGGCACATAGTGATCTGCTAGTTCTCCTAGAAGCTCTGAAGAAAAAAGTGGGGGACGGGGGGGTGGCAGGAGCAGCAGGGGGAGGGGGAGCGGGACTCCCCCCCCCTATAGTGCCTCGTTCCCGAAGCGTAGGGATGAGTCGTAGTGGGTCGTTATCCGGAGCTGACTCCGATGCTGATGCTGCTCCTGGGAAAGACAGACGGTCCGCGTCTGCCCGGCACGGGTCTGGACTGACCGGGGCAGACGACGAAACTTCCGAAGCTGCCCTGCAGGCGTTTCTCGCGGCTGCCCGGGAGGTGCTGAGGAAAGATGGTGGGGAGGGAGGTGGGGGGGGAGCGGGGGGAGAGGAACGATTGGCAAAGCTTTTAGCTAAGCTTGAAGCAACGGGAGGGGGGGGCGGAGGAGGGAGGGAGGACCGGCCTGGGTTACCTAGGGGCGGCAGCACGGGCGGTGGGGCGGCAGGCCGGCCGAAGCTGCCGCCCTCTCGGAGCACAAGAGACGCGTCAGATCACGAGGGGGAAGACGACGGGCGGCGGGTCAGAAAAGAAGTCAAGCTTCCGTCGTCTGCTTCTGTGTCTGCTGCCGATGCCGGGTCGAAACTTTTACGGCACCGGTCGGAAAATGTCGGCGCGATTTTGACCAAGGGAGGGAAACCCGGGCAGCCCGGAAAATCTATGGAGGAGATTTTTGCCTCCCTGGAGAAGGGGAAGGAGAGGCCGGGCAGCAGCAGCACGAATCGAAGAGGAGAACGGGAGAAAGAAAAAGATCCGAGGGAAAGGGAGAGAGACAGAGACAGGGACAAGGATAGAGACAGGGATAGGGACAGGGACAGGGACAGAGATAGAGACAGGGATAGGGATAGGGGGGGAAGGGGGGACAGAGATAGAGACAGAGACAGGGACAGAGACAGGGATAAGGATTACGACAGGTATAGGGACAGAGATAGGGACAGGGACAGGGATAGAGACAGGGACAGGGATAGGTATAGGGATAGAGATCGGGACAGGGATAGAGATAGAGACAGGTATAAAGACAGGGATCTTGATTGGGATAAGGACAGGGACAGGGATAGGGATAGGGATAGGGATCGGGACAGGGATCGGGATGGAGTGAAGGATAAGGATCGGGATAGAGAGAGGCTTAGGAGGGAGCGGGACAAGCTAGGGAGCACAACTGGGGCGAAGAAAGAGGCCGGCGGGCTGGTACGGCATCGTTCGGCGGATATCGGCAAGCTCGTGTCGGTTGGAAAGAACGACGACGACCGGCCGGACTTTCTCAAGAGTCCGACGGCCAGATCGAGATCGCGGGGAATCCAACGGTCACCGTCGCCTCCCGCAGGGGGGAGAGACAAGGACCGGGATAGGGATAGGGACAGGGACAGAGATAGAGACAGGTTTCGGGACAGGGACAGGGAGAGAGACAGAGAGAGGGGAGGGAGGGGCGAGAGGGACAGGGATAGAGACAGGGACTGGGATAGGGACCGTGATAGAGACAGGGATTGGGACAGAGACAGGGACAGAGATAGAGACAGGGATAGGGATAGGGACAGGGATGGTAGACGTTCGTCTGTGCGTCGATCCCCCTCTCCTGAAAGCGTTCGAGGGGAGAAGGATAAGGGGAGGGGAGACAGAGACAGAGACAGGGATAGGGACAGGGACAGAGACAGGGGGGATAAAGACAGGGACAGGGATAGGGACAGGGACAGGGAGAGGGATAGGGACGGGGACAGGGATGGTAAAGAGAAGGAGGGAGATGAGGTGAGGAAGAAAGGGGAGGAGGAGGAGCCGGTTCGGCCGAGGCGAACGTTGCGGCGCGGGCTTTCGTCTGCTAGTGTTTCGTTCGACCCAGAGGTCGATGCTGGGGAGAAAGGAGGAGGAGACGCGGGGGAGAAGGAAAGGGAGCGAGTCGGGAGGGAGGAAAGGGAGCGAGTCGGGAGGGAGAGCAGGGAGGGCAGGGAGAGTCGCAGCGGAAGCAGCGCCAAGGGAAGAGACCTCGAGCGATCTCCCTCACCTCCTCCCGCTTCCTCTGCTGCTCCTGGTGCCGCCAGCGACGAATCACACGACGAGAAGGAAGGTGCTGGTGAGGATGGTGGTGCGGGAGCAAAGGGGGGAGCAGGGGGCCCGAGGGGCATGTCTCGGGTGTCTGATAAGGCCAAGAGCGCTAAGGAGCGGCTGGAGGGGAACAGCCTGTTTCGACACAAGTCCAGCAACGTTTCGGCTCTTGTTCCGGTCCGGGACGGCAGGGACGGGCGAGATGGGAGAGATGGGAGGGATGTGAGAGATGGGAGAGAGGGGAGAGATGGGTCGGCTAGAGGTGGTGGGGGAGCGAGGCCTGTTTCTCCTCTCTTGGAGGAATCTTCTCGCTCCCGTCCGTCCAATCGGGGAGGATTAGGAGCTCCGGCGTCCCCCACAGCCAGTGTGAGCAGCCGAGCGGGCGGCGGCGGCCGGCGTGTTTCGGCTACTAATGGCCTGGTCCGGCGGAAATCGGCAGATGTGGGGAAGTTGCTGGAGGATTTGGGCGGCGACGGGGGAAAGGATGTGGGGCGGGACGGGGCGGAGAGCACGAGCAGCGGCGGGCGGAAATCAGCTGCTTCTGGCGGCTCGTCTGCTTCTCGGAGGCGGCCGAGTCGAGATTTTGACGACTTGGCACGGACGGGCGGGGTTGTCTTTTCTGTGTCGGCGGGCGGCGGACTGAGTCCCCTGAAGGCGCCTAAAATGGTGCCGCCCTGGAAGGGAGATGAGAATGGGGAGGAGGAGGGAGAGGGAGGAGCAAGGGAGAGGGGTCGGGCAGATAGGGACAGGAGTGGGGGGAGGAGTGGGGGGAGGGGGAGTGGCACGAGCAGTGGTGGGAGAAGAGGAGGGAGGGGATGGGACGATGATTCGGATAGAGAGAGTGACAGGGATAGGGATAGAGACAAGGGCAGGGAGAGGGACAGGTACGGTGAGCGTGATTATAGGGAGAGGGACAGGGATGGAGGAGATCGAGATAGGGAGAGGAACAGGGATTGGGACAGGGACAGGGACAGGGACAGGGACAGGGACAGGGACAGCGATAGGGATAGGGATAGGGAGAGGGACGGGGGAGGGAGAAGCCCTTTGCCTAGAAACGCATCTCGGTCGTCCGCTGCTGGTGGTGGTGCCCGATCCAAGGGCTCTGGTGGGCTTGCGAGGTTCAAATCTGCTGACGTGTCGGCGATGCTCAAGTGATGCTCAAGTGATGTCAGCCTCTCCGTGTGGTGGTGAATCGGGTGATTGGTGAAATGCAACTGGTAGGTGGGCCGCCGAGGTTTAAGTTTGCTGACGTGTCGGCGATGCTCAAGTGACGTCTGCCTCTCAGATTGGTTGGTGATTGGTGATTGGTGTAATGCCATTGGTTGGTGGGCTCCAAGGTTTGAGTTTTTGCTGACGTGTCTCCGATGCTCAAGTAATGGTATGGTGTGATGACTATAGAAAGGCTGTATGTATGGTTTAAATCTGGTGATGTGTTGACATGACATGCTGATGGTGGCACATTAGGAAAGGTGGCACGTGCTGATGCTCACATTCTAGAATGCATGATTCTACATCCTTCTTTAGTCTGGTCTCTTGCTGATGTTTGTCTAACATCTCTAAACTCATTACATCTCGTTCTCTCCTGTATGTTCTCTGTGGTCTTAATTCTGTGGTCTTGCTATTTGCAGCCAACGATGTGAGTGCTTATAAATCTTTCACGCCCTGATGGTGTATTTTTTAAAAGGGGCCAATAGCATCCCTCACCCAAACCAACCTTCCTACCTAACTTGACCTGACAAGTCACATCAGCTCAGATGATTCAAGCTACAATACATAGTACTACAATCACACATGTACAACATCACACACGATTTGACAAGGTTCAGTATTGACACAGAACCGCCTGGGTTTGAGTTTTTACCAAAAGAGCGCTAATTCCGCTTCTATCTCCTCTCTTTCACTCTGTGGTGTCACAAACGTTAGTGGAGCCTAGATCCCCTTCCCGCCATCACAACCGTTACTATTGCGTGGCTGTCTTTGCATCGCGACCGTTGCTCTTCCCGCCTTTCCTCAGAGCAGCTCGCATCGCTTTCGCACGCGCCACCTTTTCCTCTGCCAGACCCTTCAGTTTCTCCACCTTCGCTTTAGCGACCTCCACTGCAGTCACACTCTTCCGATATTCCTCATCAAGGCGTGCTGCTGCGGTTTTTAAATCCTCGATATAAGTCTCCTCGGATTCAATGTCCACTACGGAAACTTCCACGTCGGATACTTCCTGCGAATACGCTTCCCACGCATCCTCCGCGTTCTCCGTGGCTTCATCCGCCACCGTTTCCGCCTCCTCCGCTGCGCGCACCGCTTCTGCGCGCTCGAATTTCGCTCGCTCGAGCGCTAGCTGCGCCCCCGCCGTGCTGGCGGCTTCCGCCAACCGCGCTGCTTCCCCCACTGCGGCGGAAGCTTCATCCGCCACCTTCCGCTTGCCTGCCGCTAATGCTCCAGCTTTTTCCGCGACCTCTGACGCGCGCTTCAGGTCCGCGGAGCGTTTTCGCGCCCGCTCCGCTAGTTCCGCGACGTCCGTGGTCATGAGGGCGCGATCGAGCGCAATTTCGTCCGCCTGGCTGCGCACTTTAAACGCGTCCGCGCTTATTCCCTCCACGTCCATCCTTTTTCCTTCGAGAACCTTCTTCGCATCTTCGTAATCCGCTAGAGCATTAGCGGCTTCCGCGTCAGCAGCGGCGGCTTCACGGACCGCGGATACTAACGACTTGTTTTCGTGATTTTCGACAACAGTAGCAATTTCTCGTGTATATGCGCCAATCCCGCGAGAACTGGCGACTTGTTGTGGAGCCGCAATGTCCCGTGAACCTGTAGTGTGGTCGGGAGAAATTAAGAGGCCGACAAAGACACATACTGTGAACAAGGTATTTCCTACACAAGTGCGTAGATGATTGCGATTGGCCATGGTAATTGAGCAGGATAGCTAATACTACGGAAGTAGAATGTCGTCTCGTCGTCAGATGAGATCGACGACACGATATACTTACTATCAACAGGCGAGTATGTGAGGAGGTGAGTTGAGGAGGTGAAAGCGGGTAGAAATTGGCTTGGCGACTCAGGCGAGTGAAGGGGGACATCCGGGACAGGCAGGAACATGTCTTGTCTGTTTACCTGTGTAATCTCCTGAAAATCGGTTCGTCCACAGTGGTGCGCGCATTAACAACTACTGCTGAGCCTATTTCCCCTGTCAATACTCACCGAAACGGTTGTTTCGAATCTTGTTCCAAACTAATTTCTACGTGCGCACGTGATAAGTGTGTTTCCCCAGAAATCATTAGTGGGCGGTGTTTCAAGGCTGTGACACCAGGCGAGTTCAGACCCCAGTGTGCAAGAAACGTACCATGTGAAGGTTGGCACTTGAAAATGGCGAACGGCGCATAGATTGTAACGGTGAAAACAAACATTATGGTGGACGCCTCCCACCAACAACGGAAGGGGCAGTGCTGACGTGGAAATACTACCACGTTCCAAACCACCCCAGTCCGCTAAGATGCATGTTGCTTGAAGAAGAGCCATCCTCAATCGCATCGCGACATAGCTGACATGACACCTGTAACAGTACAGGTGCTTGTTGACTGAGCCATCAGGGTCCTCGACAAACACCGCGTGTAACAGAGCGTCTGGTAATCAAACTTGACCAGTAATTCTCGCCAAGCAGCGAGCGGTTCGCCGAAGCCATCGCTTAGGTACGACTAGCTTCGCAAACATGGAATTGAAGAAATATGATAATTTTTAAACACACGAAGTGTTTTTCAAAATTACGTATTTCGAAAGCGCAGCTGCCTGTAACGCAGATTTGGCATCGTCGAAGCGCGCTAAACGCCCTTCTCCAACTACAAAACGTGGGTTGGAGCTCATTTCCCTCCACCCACGTCTCTCATTTTCCAACGGCTCATGCAACTCTCAGTTCCTCGAGCTCATTTCTAGTTTTCCGTTCAAGCTGGCTAGAACTCGCTCTCTACCGAGAGGCGTTTCACCTTCAACTTTATTAGCTGACATTCTCAACCACAACCGCTCGACTATGGCTGCTACGCCGACACTTAACCGCGCGAACAACACCGTCGTCAACGACTCGAATATTTCCGACACCGATCGTAACGCCCGGGAAATGTCGGGCGAGCGCCGCAACAAGCGCCGGGCAGACGGCGAAACGTCCGCCCCAACAGCTGTCGACGTGCTGCTGGGCGGGCTCGAGGTCAACAAAAACGCCGAGCGGCACCAGCAGCACCCTTCGGCGCCTGTGGCGCCTGTTGCGCCAGTGGCACCCGTGGCACCAGTGGCGAACGTGGCGCCACACGCGACTGAGGCGGAGCACGCGCCTGAGGCACACGCGCCCCACAGGCAGTCGCGTCAGCGCCAGAGGCGCCGTACGGCCGCCTCGTCTGACGCGACCGTTGACCCGGACTTGACCCAGACGTTGACCCCGGACCAAGTCAAGGCGCTCCTGTCCCTGTTACAGCATCGACCCGCCAGCGCAATTGAAGCCGAAACTACACAACCGGCGGCATCAATTTCGGCTAAAAACGAAAATTCGAAAAAGGAGAAGGGAGAGAAAGGAGCATCAACACGCCGCCACAACAAGGAGGTAGCTACCAGCGTTCCCGAAGCCGCAGCCGACGACCACGACTCCGACGACTCTGACGACGACGCTGGTGAGGCTCCGATCAACGCAGCAAATGTCACATCCATGGAAAATCTCCCCCCCCTTCCTTCCACCACCCCCACCTTTTCGGCGGCAAACTTCATGAAGGCGTTCGTGCGCGCGAAGGCGGAGCCCCTGGAGGACGTGAGGGCCTACCTGAAACACGCGGAGTACAAGCTACAGCACGACGACACGGCGGGCGGACTCGAAATGGTCATGAACGCCCTCGACTACATTTCGGAGCGTTTTGTGATGTTTCAAGTCGAGGACCACACCGACGACCGCGTGGCAAAGCGATTCAAGCTCTACCAACAGAAGAGTCTCCTGACTTCCCGCCCGTTCAAGCAGGCGGTAGCTGATGTGGCGGCTATGGATCGCGCGGAGGGCGCGTACGCTCGTTCCCACCGCGTTGGAGGGCATGGGCCGACGGCATACACCCCAAAGCGTGGACCGCCGCCCACGGGTGGCTTCCATGGCTTCCGTGGGGCGTGCTTCCGTTGTGGCCAGCCGGGTCACGTGGCAAGCGGCTGCCCGAGGAACGGGAACGGTGGCCAAGGTCCCGCACCCGTGGTGTAGGGGCGCCCCTTGAGCGGTTGCGCCTTGTGCGCGTGGCACGGTGCACGTCATGTGCAAAATCCGTGGGCAACCCAAAGGGGTTAGCGATGGCGATTGGCCAGCCCTAGTGAGGGGTGATTGATAGGCTAGAGGCCTAGGATGCGGGGGAGGGAATTACAAACCTCTTGGCCCTTAGTATTAGCCCATGCGGTAGGGGCAAAGGCATGCTAGGAGCACGGCAATGTATGGCCCGTTTCATATAAGGGCGGACTTATTAAAGGAGCGATTTCTGATCTTGGCTCATGATGAAAAAAAAAAAAAAAAAAAAAAAAAAGGGAGAGAGAGTGAGAGCAAGAAGAAGATGAAGGAGAAGAAGAAGAGAGAAGGAGAGAAAGGGAGATGGAGGCAAAAAAAAAAAAAAAAAAAAAAAGGGGCGAAGATATGTACCGTACGACCCCAATCAATGGCCCTTGCACTCATCGGACGGGCAGCCATTGCCTTGGGTGAGCAAGAGTGAGAACAAAAGAGAGGGTGTGTGTGTGTATGCGAGAATGAAGAGAGGCAGAGAGAGAGAGAGAGGGAGAGAGAGAGGACACGAGAGAGTTCCTTCCCTCTCCTCCTGTTGTGGCCACGTGACCACGCGGAAAGACTCACACCCGCACCTTGGTTGGTGGATTGAAAAAAAAAAAAAAAAAAAAAAAAAAAAAAAACCCGTACAATGCGGATGCTAGGGGTGACAAATGGTATTCGAATGGGTCAACAAGCACGCATTCATCACATGCACCGCCATTTCACGCACGAAGGCTGGAAATCATATCCATAGGAACCTCATTTCGCATTCCCGCTCCATTGTCATTCCGCAAACATGCAGCGGCAATACGCCATGAGGTGTTCGACGACGACGATCCGTACGAATTCGCCGTCACAGACAAGACCGTCACGCAAATGCGCGGGCGGCTTCGCGCAACCCTCGCACGGTGGGGCTCGTGGTGCCCAAGTAGCCTCATCCTCTCGGTCATCGCCAACGGCTACTGGCTACCATGGAGCCACAATCCCCCACAACCGTTTCACGAGCGCAACCATCTCGGCGCGCACACACACGCGGCATTCACACGCACTGCCATTCGCGAACTGACAGATACCGGAGCGGCGGTAGCTACCCCAGCAGCGGAACTAACATGCATCAGCCCACTCAACGTGGTTGAGCAACGTGACAAATGCAGGCTTATTCTCGACCTCCGGAAAGTGAACGCGCAACTAATCATCCCCAAATTCAAATACGAAGGGCTAAGCCGCGTTGCCGACCTGGCACGCACAGGCGACTGGATGTTCTCCATCGACCTCAAATCCGGATACCATCACATCGACATACACCACTCATGCTGGACATTCCTCGGCTTCGAATTTGAGGGGAGCACGTACTCTTTCCGCTCATTGCCCTTCGGCCTCGCGACAGCACCATTTGTCTTCAC